ACATTTTGTTGAACCCCGTGCCGATCATTGACAACAACCGCATGGAGCGAGAGTAAACACATTTGTCGGAGTTGCAGGCTGCTGGCACTTTGACAAACGTCACATTGAGGCAAGATACAACACTCTCAAGTATTCAGAGAGCTTACTCAAGATCTTATTCAAGAGCTTGTGTACACTGAATAGTCGGCAAATAAACATATTCAATATTCATTGATATAATGTCTTAATGTATTGATATATTATGGGTATGAGGATGAATGTGATACAAATATGTATTGTTTGTCTCCAAGTCCAACGCCCAACATTATTAAAGTTTAATCGTTACTATCTGTCTCAGGTGGAAAGCGATTAACAAAGCGTAATTACCGTCTGTTTAAATCCCGTGTGGGGCAAAGTTGGTTTATTTGTAATTATTAAACCGGATAAACAAAGTTTATTTATCACAGTGCTGGCAAGCACGACCGTTGCATTTATTGTGGGTATACTATGTTCCCCATTTACTATTATACCCCCTTTACTATTATACCCCCTTAACTATTATACCCCCTTTGGTACACGTTACAAGCCTCTTTTGTGCACGCGAAGCGTGCACTCCGGCCGGAGGCGGCGGCCGAAGGCCGCCGCCTCCGGCAGGAGTTTTCCAGGCATTAAGACTCATCGGAAGTCGTTAAGCACAATTATTTTTAGTTCAAAACATTCTAATTTGATGTGAAAGATGACAGGAATAAAAAATAGTTATGTTGAGATTTTTAAGAAATTTGCATAAAATACTCGCCAGCACTGTTATACGAAATTCGGTAAAAAACCCAAAATCGCCATATTCAGGTGCCTTAAAAACCATGTTAAAATTGAGTTAGAGATCTGAAATTTTTCAGGGCGTCTAGACGTTGATCAAATCGACTGCAAAAAAAGTTTCAGGTTTCAGGAGTATCGGGAAATGGGTTTTCTAGAACCCCTGTTTTACGACAGATTGTCGTGATATATATATATATACATATTCAGGGATAGACGCTTTGCCAGTCAATTTTAGCCTGTATTTAATTGTCCATAGATTCAAAAGTATAAAAGATAAAGCCATTTCCGACCACAGGTCTTGCAAATAATTGTTTACACTTTAGTTTACATTGTATAAAAAAATTATTTGACGTCATAAACACCCCTTGATGACGTCATCAAGTTAACCGTTTTTAAAACTTGATTTTTGACAAAGTAATAACTTTTAAAATTAATTTTAAACCATTAAGGAGTAATTTTATTCAAAATCTGAGGAGATTTTCATCTTAGATAATTGTTCAAGCATTCTGAAAATCTACCGGAAAGTTTTTCTAGCTTGCTCTTTCATAAAGATATTCGTCATTGAAGTTTGTGCTTTTTTGAAGAACTATTTTATAAAAACGTCAATTTTGCGATTTAGTATTCTCTGGTGTTGGGCCATGCCTTGAGTTGAGGAGCTCAGTTCTGCTTCCTATAGGTATAAATTGTGCATTAGGCTAGTTTTGAAGTTGAAAATCGAAAAGTTGCACACGTGGGGACACGCCCAAATTGATAGAAAATTGCTAAAATCACTGAAAATTGCTGTTTTCGTCATTTTCTGTCAACTTTAGAGTGCCGTTGTGATTACAGTTCTTCTTGAAATACTTTGAAACTTTGCATGCTTATCAAGCTATATATAAAACAATTACATGAAAAAATTTACGGCGATTCAATATTGGATGCGCACGCAACGTCCGCTCAAAGTTTGCACGTGCGAAAGGTGAGAATTTTGCTCATTCGTGATTTCCAACAAATTCTGCTTTGCCACGACAGTTTAATGTCATTATATATGAATTTAATGCCAACTTGAATGAGTATTAGGTGGCATATTCAGTCAGTGATCGACCGATATGCTTACCTAAACACAAGGAAATGTTTTTAAAGGAAAATTTCGAAATCGTTGAAACTTCCTCCTTATTAATTAATGAAGATATCAGTTTATATTTCGACTTTATAAAGTACCCTGACATTATAATCAAAAAGAGATGATATTTTACCAAAACCCATATTCATGGGTAGAGTGGACCGCTGCCAGTGTCTCTCTTTCCCAAACAAAAGGAAATGATATTAATTTGATTGACCGTTCTCAAATGCAAAATGATACCGAGAATGAAATCGGTCGCTCGCTTTTCCCATTCATTTACAATTGTAATAGATTAAGAAGATCTACCCAAAGGCAGCTGTACTCGGCAATAAAGATTCAATAAACTTCAGCTAATTCAATAAGCAATAACTACTACCCTTACCCCGAAATACTAGGTATCGATCCGAACGCAACCCAAAGAGATTTTTACAGCATCTGACTGATGTAATCAATCGAAATTTATTACAATTCGTAAGCCGTGAATGAATGGGAAAAGCGAGCGACCGATTTCATTCTCGGTATCATTTTGCATTTGAGAACGGTCAATCAAATTAATATCATTTCCTTTTGTTTGGGAAAGAGAGACACTGGCAGCGGTCCACTCTACCCATGAATATGGGTTTTGGTAAAATTATATTATATTTATAAATTAATTTAATATAATTTATTTTATTAGGCATCGTTTACAGATTGCGTAATCCTTTTTTTTTGCAATTTTAGGACAGCTGGAACCACTTAATGCATGGCTATATTGTGGAAATTACACTAGCAAAAGGTTTTCCAAACCCAATCCTTTAGGTATTTCGTAAGACCCCATCAAACAGTAAATTTGTTGCAGCATTTCAACAAAATTAACATTGAATAGCCGGTCGGAATATGTCCGGTACGTTTCGAGGTTCGAAACATGCGATGGATATTAAGTAAGAATAAGAGCCCGGTGTTTGTGTTTTATACCCTCCCCTGCTTTACGGACGATTCTGGTCGAAACAAACGGTTCATTAAGAGACAGCTGGATCAGGGCGAACCCCTTTAAGAAGCAGCTGCCTGTCTGGGGAACTAATTTACTTTGAAGTTCTGCAGCATATAACTAAACCTAGTAAAGGCATAAGTATTCATAACGGGTGGCAGAAACTGCAACAATAATAATATTGCAATTATATTATAAAACTATAAAACAACAGATGACTAATGAGTTAAACTGATCTTTCCGATCTGTCCTGTGGAGGGCACTATCATTAGTAATAGTGCCATCGTCACATTACTATAAACGTGACGTCACATCAGTATAAACGTGACGTCACATCAGTATAAACGTCGCAAAGAAAGCGTACGCACCTTCTGTCCCAGGTACGAGATATAACGGCCCAGAAACTGTAGTATTATTGTCAGGATGATGCTCCGCACAACAATGGATATAATTATGTTTCACTGTGTTCTGTGAGGAATTTAACGTGTGCAGCTATAGTTATACAATATTGAATATACATGCACTCTATTCTCCCCCGTCAAGGAGCCTCACTCTGTATGTGACTATTCAACCGTTAAACAATTATCAGTTGCAATATGAACAAGTTTAACATGATATCGTCCATGAAGTTAAGTTTGAGGATATTGGTAAATTTCTAAAATAGCGTTTTCGACGGTATTTTAGAAATCAATCTAGCGTGTTCTTAAGTTCTGAACATTAGCCACGTGACCCATACTCCTATATGTACTGCTCAGAAATAAAATGTTTTGCTTTTAGGTACTATAATGTAAAAATAGATACAGTCTGGGCGAGAGTCATGTAAAGATAACCATTCGTCGAAATATCGTCCCAGAGTCTTAAACCAAGAACTTAAATTTAAAAATAACTGAATGTTAGTGAACTGGAAGTACGTGAAGCAGCTATATACGGACAGCTGCGCTCATCATATTTGGTCTCAACATTCCTCCTTATCTGCTTACTTGTATCAAGATATATGCCTGTAGTCTCGTAGTGTATTTAAACTGTGCTACACTTCAGTCTGTTACTATGATCTGTGATAAATTTAAATTTGTAAATGTTCAAGTAAAAAAGGGTCGTTCTAAATAAGAATTCCACTGTAGTTTGCTTGCATCAAGAATCAAGATTCTTTGGCCTTACTAGCTTGCATCAAGATGTAACTTATAAGTTATACTTTATAGTATGGTAGGTAAACTGTGCTACACTTCAGTATGGACGAAATTTACAAATGTTTACCATGTTCAGGTGTTGAAATTTTGCCAATGTTAACATATCACTGCCATATAATAATTTATATGACCAGTGTGTGGTTGAAATATTGTTAATTGATCCATAGTACGTAATATAGGGTGTTTAAGTTGGTTTACTAATATTTACTCAATTTCACACATGTTCATGAGATATCATACAAATGTATGTGACAAAGTTTACCTATTTCTGCCTTCTGTATTTGTATTTGCCTATAACAATGAAATATGTGAACAATTCCAAACACATTCAGCTCACAAAATAATGCTAGACTATTCGGCATTCCTTGTCAGGATGTCATAAACATCCCTCATGTAAATTTCTTAAATGTGTGACGGAGTTTACATGGTGCTACCATTTAACGAAAAAAGTCGCTAAATATGTAGATAATAGTCATATGCAACTATCCTATGAATTGGAAATTCGAAAATTTTGTCAAACACGGCAACAAGGGGTCCATAAAAACTCTGTCACGTTTTTATAGTGTGACAAAGTTTACAACTCACTGCCGGCCGCATTTAAGCGATATGTTATCGACTGATAAAGATACCGTTATGCGACAAAGTTTATCTAGACTAGAGGATAACGATTATCCTAGGCAGTAGGCATAGAGGGTTTATATAATTTCATAGTGTGACACATTTTACATCTTCGTGTCATTTAGTAGGGTCACTAATATTTACCAATATCCTCAAACTTCAAAGTCCGTATACTTATATTTACGATAACGATGATAAAAACTGTATCAAAGATATGAGATCAATAAATATGATAAGTAATTATGTTGTGTTTGGATTTGACGAATTGGCTATGATCGTCAAGGGTCCACTTTCTTCAAAAAATTAAAAATATAACCAAGTAAAAACTTACCAAAGTACAAAAACTTGACAGCGGTGACCCCGAAAACAAGACTGAAGTCACCCCAAAACCGGTGAAACGAGGAAGTTGTTGCGTATCTCGGGTAAACAACCTGTGAGGAAATTCAGATCATCATCTGGATTGAAAACTTTATTTAACTTTTAAGATGTGAAAATTCAGTTTGGCATCTTAAATCTGCTGAAAATTCTGCCCGAAGAAGCCTTTCAAAATTAGCTGCACACTCTTATCATAGATTTGAGAAGCATCTAATTCTAGATTATATATTCCCTTTGTAATTGTAAAATTAATTTTGTAGTGGGGGACAGAAAGGGTATGATAGCTCCTTTTAAAGGTTTTACACATTGCATGTATTTTCCCGGTTGTTAGGCCTGAGGGCTGGTTAAAGATTATTAAGAAATAAAACATTAAGCTCAGCTCACAATTATTGTACACCACACCTTTCATGTTAGTAGATTTGAGAATTGAATTATGAATTTTACTACAGAAAATCTTGTTAACCATCAAATTCAATTTCATTAGACACCTGACTAACTTATTTAATAAGTTATTAAATTAAGGCTAAATAATCCTCAAAAAGCTCCAGCCTAGGCGTCAATCTACCTACTTACCTACAAATCGAAACTTCTTAACTTCTTAAAACGAAGATGTTGCTCCTAGTATTGACATGTCTGCTATTTGGAGGGGCTGTGACTGAGGAATCTCTAACCCACCTGCTGGAGTCACCTCAAGCTCTGCTCAACTCCTACCTATCGTACCAGCTTCAAAACGGTAAAGCATACTCAACCTCTGAACTGAGACTCCGAGTTAAACTCTACAGACAAGCCGTGAAGTTTGTGGTGTCTCAAAATGAGCTGCATGGAGATGAATGGCAGAGCGGACTAAACTTCTTGTCTGATTTGAGCGCAGAGGAACAGAAGAATTACCTTGGCTTCAATGCAAGTGCTCTCCTTACTGCTGACAGTGCAGAACCTCATTCTTCTGAAATGCTCTCCGTCCCCTCCTCTTTCTCCTGGCTTGATAAAGGAGCAGTTACTCCTCCCAAGGATCAGGCTAAATGTGGTAGTTGTTGGGCGTTCAGCTCAACCGCGGCTCTTGAAGCTGCCTACAAGATCAAGTCGGGAAAATTAAAGAGCCTGTCGGACCAGGAGTATTTGGACTGTGTTTATCCTCTGAATAAACGTAAGTTTGAAGTTCATGATCTTTAAACTGATTGCTTTACGGGGCCCGGGGGTTGGTTATTGAAACATAACGTTAAATACGGTCCTCGAAAGAGTAGTTATTATTATATCTCACAAATACCAGCTGCAATAAACCTTGACAGTTGGATAAACGCTCAGTTAGGGGAACATCCCAGTCTTTATGCCCTGACAAATCTTAAATCTTAATGTGTTCACTTTCTGTAAGTACTTTCTAATGTCCCTGTTCTCATGTCGCTGTCTAGTCAAGAGATTAGATAGTTAACATGTCATTATATTTGGGTAACCCCATTAATCCAGAGCGAGGTCACCACCCACCATTTATTGCCTGGAATTTAATAAACTACCACTACCAGCTTTGAAGTGTGAAGTGTGAAGTATGAGGTGTGAAGTGTGAAGTATAAAGTGTGAAGTGTGAAGTGTGAAGTGTGAAGTGTGAAGTGTGAAGTGTGAAGTGTGAAGTGTGAAGTGTGAAGTGTGAAGTGTGAAGTGTGAAGTGTGAAGTGTGAAGTGTGAAGTGTGAAGTGTGAACCACACAATATAACCACTCCCCAACTCAATAGTGAATATTACAGGACAGAACGGCTGTAATGGTGGCTACTACTTTACTGCCTGGGACTACAACAAGAAGAACTCCAGGATGGGACGATCACGTGACCGGTTGTACACTGCCAAGGCGGGATCTTGTTCTAAACTTCCTGAGAACTCCCTGAAATCCCACTCAGTGACTGGCTACACTGCAATGCCCAACAGAAACGAGCAGGATACCCTCCTGGGGATCACTAGGAACGTCCTCTCTGTAGCGTTCGAAGTAACGGCCACTTTCTCCGCTTACAAGTCGGGTATTCTGCGGGACAACACGTGTACTCACAACAGTAACCACGCAGTAGCAGCAGTGGGCTACACTCCGCAATATATCCTGGTAAAGAACAGCTGGGGCACCAAATGGGGTGACAGAGGTTTTGTAAAGTTCTCCCGCAACCACCACGGCTGCGAGCTTCACAAGTTTACCGCCTACCCTACACTGAAACCCACTAACAAGCCTGATAATGATCCTGAGGATGATGCAACTGTCTACGACCCGGACAACAGAGAGGGTCCCACTGATCCGTACAACCCTGGTCCGGAACCGCCGTGTGTGGATGATAAGGAGTGGTGTGGACCTGCATACTGCGGGAAAAGCTACGAGAAGTACTGCCGTAAGACCTGCGGTAAATGTACGGATGATAACAGCTGCCCTGAAGGAACAGTGAAGTGCCCTGATGGAGTGTGCCGGCACACCCACATGTGCTAAACCCACATGTGCTAAACTCACGTGTGCTGAACCCACATGTGCTAAGCACTCACCTGGGCCTATTTGGGAAACTTGAGTGGGATCCTCTGACGTGATTGTTTGATATTTAATTCAAAACATTTGTCAACTTTGTGTTTGGTTTTGTCAGGTATTTTGTCAATTCAGTTAAACGAAGTTATTTTGAGCCGTTATGTCACCAATACACATTGATAATGATAATGATAACCTGGGTTTGCTTGGAGCCTATGGAAAAATAAAAAACTAATTTATCAGAAAAATAACACTTGGACACGACATGAGGTCATGAATTTCAAATATAGTGAGCTTCATTGGCCGACAGGTTATTCAAAAGTACGGAATGAGATCAAGAATAGGAAACATATCATGCAGAAAGTCTTGAAGCAGGACTGGAAATTCCAAAATCGAGGGTTTTTAATTAATACTGCTCCTAGTTAAAGTAATAGAAAATATTACTGAGCGGCGGTCAGCCTGTCATTTCGACGAATCTCTATTTTACGAACATTATGGCCTGGGGTCCCCAGGTACGTGATATAAAATAATGTAGTTGTTGCTCGGGCAGCCACCCGGTCCAATCAAATCTGGAGGCTTCTCCAGTCAAATATATATTTGTTTAATGCGTAATAATTAATTCATAACGCAATGACATCTGCAATTGCTGTTCGGATTCCGTTAAATTTAAACGATTTAATTTGATTAAAATTGGAACTTTATTAAATTTATTTATATTTGGTGGCTTGTACAATTTGCTGTTTGAACAGCAAATTGTACAATTCACCCTTTAATTCCAAATTACAAGTTTGAGACTCGAGTCAAGGTTAAAATGACAGTTACGTAAATTTCATGCTATTTTGATGATCTGCATGATTAGTGATTACCAAGTTAGTCGCTCTCTTCCTGAGAAGATTGTGATTTGTGAGGGTAACGCTGCCGTTTTTAATGAAATACCAATGTTCCTGGACGACGCCATATGTTTTAATCAGAATGATGTCAGTTTCCCAGACAGGCGTGGGTGTTTCTTTAGTCTCAACCTTTCCATTGCCTCTATAAATGTACCTTGTTTCAAAAAAGCTCTAATTAATTTTGTAATTACATTCGCTGGGTGATCACTTTCTTCGCGTCGCAACATAACGTCCACAAACTTTGGATTCTTGACTTGTATTTTTTGTATTTTTTGTATTTTCTGTATTTTTTGTTATATTTTTTGTATTTTTTGTATTTTTTGTATTTTTTGTATTCTTTAATTGTTCAAGTGTTTATATGGAAGAATTTTGCCGATATGCATTAATATTATCACTGCCAGTGGTCGGTTTTAGATGTTGCAGAAACATCGTTACTCGCTTAAATTTTGTTGCTTATATTAAATATTTTGACAAGCCTACACTGTATAATAGCCCCCAAAACCACCTAGTTGTTAATAGTTCTATCAATTTCTAACTAGTGGTAATTAACTATAGTAACTACCTCGTTGTAAAGCCATGTAGACACCTTCTTCACAACCATCTTTGGATGCTGATCGATAATGTTTTCATCTTTCAGGAGGTTTATGAGTGGCTTGATCCTTCGCAACTCTGAAATAAATAGCCGCGATATTCATGACGTGTTTAAAGATGAATTTGCCTCAATTATTAAAAACGTGTTCTATTATTGACATCTTGCCTGACATTTTCTTCCTGTATAAATCAACTTTTATCCACAAACTCCGACAAAGAATGCGCTATTTGTTTTCTGAACACAAACTCCAATTAGAAAATTTGCCGTAATTAGAAAACTTACTTGTTGTTTTAAGAATGAGGTAAGGGAAATAGTAAGCAACTGCAACAGCAATGTAGTAGAATGGAACCCATTGATACCAGCTGTGGAATACTTTCTTTTCGAACATTTCTTTCTCATTACAAGGATAGTTTATCTTTCTGCGAAAAAATATGTCTTCGCCAACTAGAACGATTTTTTCTCCGAAAAATCTCAAAACAAATTTGGTTAGTGCCTGCATGGTAAGTAAACCGAACGAGTTATCAAATGCAGGTCCTATAAATACAACAACTAAAGTAGTAAACAACTAGTAACTACCATAGTAAACTATAATACTATCTTATCGATTTAGACAATGAAAATTATTATATTATTATATAAAACATATTATTATATTAACCCTGTTTTGATGTTCAATCGTCCCACACAGGGTGCGATCCCGGGGTACGGGGTTTGTCCGGGCATGTCGTACGCGTCCATGTGGGTGTATATACCTTGGAAGTAAGGTGAGATTTCCTAAAAGTAAATTGTGACTTTTGTCAATAATAATCAGTGCCCATTTTAAAATCATTCCCTTTATTTTGTATATTTACTGATTGTGGGGGAATAATTTGCATTTAAAACTTCAGTTTTAATCTGACACATGACTTGTTACTGTTAAATTGTAACAATCTTTCTAATTTCTAACCTTGCGTCCAACAATACTGCTCTGCAAAATCTTTATCGAACTTTGTGAACTTGAGACAGCTGATGTTGGCTCCTATCAGCTGGTTAAACGTGCTGAAGAAACTCTTGGTTAGTTGAGTTATAGAGGGAGAAAGAGATTGTGGGAAGTATTATAGATGTAGAGGACTAACAGATTGTGGGAAGTATTATAGATGTAGAGGACTAACAGATGGCCTAGGCTCGACAGGGACAGGGAATTCTTACCAGCTGTTAGATTATATCTAGAAATGGTGTAAATTGTATTTAAATAATATGCTATGTCAGCAACTTGGTTGATCAGTGTATTAAATTTCCAGAATATTTTACATTTTTATTTTAGCCCAGTGATATTTCCAATCAAGAAATTGACAACTTCTTTTATAATTATACGACTGACGCCTTATGCTCAGATCGTCAGATTAATAATTCAAAACGCGTTCTCATCATAGTATTTGGTTATCCTTATATCTATAGGAGTCTGAGTAGCCATTGTGGTTAATCAGTGCGACTACTTTACCTATTACACATATACCATCAGCTTTTATTGTGCGATCAGCAATTATTACAACATCTAAAAAGCGTTATATTGCATTCATTTATAGTTTTATCAGTTGCAGATTAGCAATGTTAGGTATGCGCTAGCCACATAAAGGCGAATGCCTATGTAATTTATATTTATTTCCCGATTTTGACCGGGACCGGGATCAAGCCGGGATTCCGGTCGATCCCTTGGTCTGACAAGGAGTTAGAGGGTTTTGAGGTTGTCTGAGAGCTTAAGACTATTTCAATTTGGGGATAGGATGGAGTTACGAATACAAGAAACGAAGAAAGCGATCTGAGGGAAATGCCAAACAAAAAGTTTTGCATTGCTAGTGAGAGCAGGTCTTTATACATGTGTAGATGTATGATATGAGAAGGTTAAATAGATTCAGAGAAGTTGTTCAGTAAATTATCATTAAATATCTCCAGATCAGTTTATATAGCCCACCTTAAAATAGCCCACATCACCATCAGTCTGGTCATGGTGTTCCTATTTATCTGGTCCGTAACGTCATCTATACTGCTCATGAAGGGAATCGCTCCCTTCATCTTATCCAACCCGATAGTAAACAAGTAGGACATGATGACAAACTTTAACCTGCAGATACCCTACTGACAATTAAAGGTACAGACTTGACCCTGATACACTACTGACAATCAAGGTTAACTTAAAATGTGTATAACTTGGCACTCAACAAATAAACTGACTAGACAAGGAGAAAGTGACTAGCGTGACTATGATAGAAATACAAAGCATTGACACGAGACTGCGGCTCTGAAATCACAGTGTAGAACATTAGCAGAAGATAAGGCAAGGGTACCCGGTACAAAGTGAAAAGAGAGCAGTAAAACCGGGGTTACCTGCCTGCATACTAGCGGCTCTCATGCCCAACAAAAGAGATGACCTTAGAAATTTTGGATCCATGGTAATTAGCCATACATTTGTACATTTGGTCTAATCGTTCATGTACTGACTGCTCTCTTCAGACATTTCATCATACCGCATAAAATTATCGGCATTCTGTCAAATAATACACGACAATTGCTATTGTTACATAATGACGAATTGTGAATAAGATTGTAGCCACCCCTGTTACGTTGGGCAAGATGATTGTTATGTTCAAATGGTCATAATTGCTCCCAAATCGTTGCATAATGGTAAATGGCGGAGAGATTTGCATGTTGCTATGTTAAGATTGCTAGAAGTGTGCTCGTCAAAGCCATCAAGCTCAAAGATAGTGCAATTATGTAAAATATTACAATAACCAAAGGTACCCATTCATCTAATATTAAGCTGTCAAATAGATTACACGCTTATTATATCTAATCTGGATACATAAAACAAGCTTAAACCCGTCTGATTCAGCCATTCTCACCGCTAATTCGTGTCGGGATTACATTTTCCAATCAGACCACCAATTTCTTAAGTCTAAACGTTGCGAAAATCACTGACTTTCTATGTGTATGCTTTGTGTATGTGTATTTCTCGCTGCCAAGAATACGACTAGTTAAGTGGAGTGATATAAGAGGTAAATTTTGCTGAAGATCGTTTCTCTTTCATTTATCTCTTGGTAACGAGATATAACTGTTCTAAGGACTGATTCATTGCTCTCAGCTTTACTTTTTTATGATAGTTGAGCCTTCGTGGGAATACCTTGCTGTACCCGATGAGTGATGAGGTATATACTCCTTCTGGACTTAATGATAATGACTGTACAGACTATATACGCAATAGTGCAATACCCCTTATATAATATTAATATGTATATACCCTTTGAGCAACCAATGGGCGGGAATATGTTGACAATGCAATCGGACGTTTCGATCACGTGAAAGCAGATGTGATTAAGTTCAAAACAAGCGCTGATCTCAGATCTAGACCAGATTAGTTTTGGAGAGTCTTCCGATGAATTAGAAGTACCGTTGTAGGTCAGGGCTTTGTGTTCAGAGTGTATGATAAACGTTCTAAAAGGTCGGGATACGTTTCTTGTACTTTATCGCATCCCCAATTTTCCTGGGGTTTTGAGCTTTATTTATCACGTTATCAGTGCTGGAGTTAAATTAAAGTATCATAAATGATCATTTTTCCTACTAAGTTGAAGTATTGGCTGTTACATAGTTGAGGTTAAGAGGATTTTTGTATCATGCCAAAATTACACACTATGATTGATCTTCTCTCGAAAGTTTTCCCATGCCCAAAGGGGCCATCTACTTAGGACGTCCGCCAAAATCGCAGATTTTCAGACCACCCCCTCCCCCTGTCCGGGTGAGTCCGAATTTTCAAAACCACCCCCCTCCCTCCCCCGGACGTCCGGATTTCCAGCTACTTTTAAGAGTACAAATAAAACCAACTCAAATTCATTGTTAATAAAATTCAAAGATTTGAAATAGAATTCAAAGAGTTGAAATAAATGGGACTTTTTCGTTAATTCTGCCAAAATTTCCGGACGTCCGGATTTTCACAAACCACCCCCCCCCCCCCTCCCCCTGTCCGGATTTGCCCGAAATTCCAAAACCACCCCCCCCCCCTCCTTATTCGCCGGACGTCTTAAGTAGATTCTCTCGAAAGTTTTCCCACGCCCTATAACTGAAGTTCTAACGAGACGTACAATTACACAAATCAATGTCAAATTTAAGAATTAACAATCGTTTTGTTTCTCGACACCAATAATTCTTTTGTCATGGCTGAAAATGGTCTGATTAATGCTAATTTTCATCATTAACTAACAAACATTAACGTTAGTACATCGTTATATGCGCATATGTTGCACGTACTAACTTTGAACAGGTCATGAAATTTATAGCAGTCATTTTCTTTGAAGTCAGTTAAAGATGGAAAGCAGTAACCTAGCGTCACCCAGTTTCATACCATTTTGTTACCATGGTAACAGCGTCACCATGGTAACAGCGTCACCATGGTAACAGCGTCACCATGGTAACAGCGTCACCCAGTTACAGCGTCATCCAGTAACAGCGTCACCCAGTAACTTGAGCGTCACCCAGTTTCATACCATTTTGTTACCATGGTAACAGCGTCACCATGGTAACAGCGTCACCGTGGTAACAGCGTCACCCAGTAACAGCGTCACCATGGTAACAGCGTCACCATGGTAACAGCGTCACCATGGTAACAGCGTCACCCAGTTACAGCGTCATCCAGTAACAGCGTCACCCAGTAACTTGAGCGTCACCCAGTTTCATACCATTTTGTTACCATGGTAACAGCGTCACCATGGTAACAGCGTCACCGTGGTAACAGCGTCACCATGGTAACAGCGTCACCATGGTAACAGCGTCACCATGGTAACAGCGTCACCATGGTAACAGCGTCACCATGGTAACAGCGTCACCCAGTAACAGCGTCACCCAGTTACAGCGTCACCCAGTAACAGCGTCACCCAGTTTCGTACCATTTTGTTACTCATGGTATATTAACATCTGGCTTGTACTAGGGATATTTAAAAGATTTGTATTTCGGAGGACAAACCATGAACCATGATTTTCTGGCATTATGTTCAATGTTGATAGAAGCACGCTTTTCCCTTTACCCTCACCAACAAGTATGCCCTGCCCACGAACCACGTAAGAAAAACGAAATCAATTAATTCAACAAAAGTCATCTCCCAACGGCAACCCGTCAATTTTTCAGCTAGATTCAGCTTTGGATTTTCAGCTAGAATATTTATTCAGCGTCGAAATATTCAATTATCGACGAATCAACTTCATGATGCTAATTTTATGAAACTATTTACAAGTCACAAATTTTACTGAGCACTGATGACCGTTTTAATATTTCAAATTGTACTTGTAGACCTGCTTTTGTTTATCGATTTGTGTAAATCGTTTGCACCATTCTCTCATCGTCACGTGACAGTATGACGCCACGTGACGCAATTAATTCGACGATTGGTTTGACGCTATCACTTGAACAGCTGGCAACTATTTATTAGCTGTTTGTGTTTATTTTACATTTGAACATTGAGCCGCGCATGGTGATTTTATTTTTCCGCACCCATGCCTTAAAAGCTTATATTCACCAATTTTTCGACTGTTTTTTATTTCAGGGATTTCATGATTGCATGTATTTATTTCATCGGCCCTTAATTTTTTCCTTTTCACCCTTTTGAAAAAAGGCAATAGTGAAAGGTTACGAATGGACGTTTTTGCAGAAAAACGTGGATTTTGGAAATAGCGGTAGGTGGGTCAAATATATGTCGTGTTCCTTACTTGCTTCCGTTCGTTTCCATGTCAACTTGCCGCGCGCACGCGCACGGGGATTGCTTGCGGAGATGTGGTGTATAGCTAGTCTGTGGTCAATGAATGCGCGGCACTAGCGTATTTTAATGTATACTAGTAATGTATAGTATTTTGTAATAAGCCCAACTTGAATGTGGCACGCGTAGTCTACTGATGTTTCAATATTATTATTATAAGGTGAGCTGATTAGAGCTTATATTAATAGTTATAGTGAAATGGAAATCTAGCGTCCGCCAAAACGAAACAACGGGCGCAATTCTTGTTCGGACATACATGTATTACCGGCCTTTAAATTTACTTTTGTTCGGCCTTAATAATTGTTTCTTGAAACAAAATTTTTTCAAAATCTGCCTGATTCAAATTTAAACTAAAATATTTGTGATAAACAGGTCGTGTATAAAGAATTTGCAATTTTATACTTTATTTTGCCGGCCCTATTGTTTAAGTTTGGTAACGTGGAAAAATTGGCCAATTTGTTATTAGTAATCAAGCTGATTGAACGGACGGAACTGTTGCCGACCAATACACTGAATAAACAAAGCTGATATGATGATCTCTGTCACAGTCAGCTGTTTTCAGTACAGTCGAGCATACAAATATATAGCCAAAGACATTAAACCAGCGTGGGAGTTGAAATTTCAAATTTGCGGATTTAGCAATTTGAGATCTTCAGTACGATAGATATTTGCGCATACTGACTCAATTATCATCTGGAAGTAAATAAAATGAGACATTTAGACTTTACAGTTCCGTTTACTAATAATTATTATATTATGTTCAGAATTAAGAAAAACTGTCAATATTTGAATTTCATGTTGTACTTGTAAAAGAAAAAAGTTAAACTTTCCTCAATATTTTTACTGAGACTTTAGTTAAAAGTTTTGAAGAACACTCCAACACCAATAAGTTATAACGATAGCACCAAATATCATAGTATTACTATTTACAACGAGTAAAGGCCATTTCGTAAGCATTTAAGATTCGGTTATATATATCTTGGTGGCAAGAGATTATTTATAATCTCAGGGAATAGTGATCGTGAAGGCAGTGAAGCCAATAACCTCTCCTATTCCAATGACCATAGTGCGTGATGAAGAATCACATCCTTTTCGAGGTGCTACTATTAAGCATTGTAATCTGTCCTGGGTGACTCCAGTATAAACAGATGACGTGCAACAAAACACTATGGATCTAGACAGGCAAAGGTCGATAAAAAACCGGGTGCGAGATGCTGGCAACTTCTCCTCTCTAAAAGTTTGCTACTGAAACATTACACACAAATCAAGGACGGTGTGCTTCTACCTCTGCAAGGTCGGGTGAGACCAGGATGACGGCAACTGGGCAAAGCCTCATGGACCCCAGTGGCCTGATGAGAAGAGTGGTTGCTCGTCATAACAACTGAGTAATTAGTCAACAGATCGCTCATGTTGACACTGACTTCAGCAAGTCCAATCCTATCAACTACAGCAAACACTCAATGTACTTTGGAACCTGGAATGTTTTATCTTTAGTCAG